ACACACACACACACACACACACACACACACACACACACACACACACACACAAATGTGTAGACTAGGGAGAGCCCCAAGAGGGGGAGCGCTCCAAGACCGTTCCCTGTTTTGCAATCACAGCCACTGACCTTCCCTCCCCTTCCCTCTTGTTCTCTCACTTTACAGGGCGCCACTGATTTCCTGTTCTTTTTTTTCTGCTGCAGGTCCTCATTGGTCCTCATGTCCTTCTCATCCAGCAGGCGCGGAGCTTGGAATTCACCTTCCTTCCGGATCAGCTGAAATAAAGGACAAAGAATATTATTTCAGAATTCCTGCTTTTTGGAACTCCTGGAGATTTTAAAGACAATAGAAAGCCGGTAGTGAAAATATGTAGGTTTTTCCCTCGTACTGAGAAAAAGTCAACACTTAAGAAATATTACACGTGGAATTCAACGGGTGCAATTTCCCTGCTCAAATTTCACAGTAAATCCTAACCAATGGTGGACAGCTCATGCCAGACGGGAGGATCATGTGACTCTGGGGACCACGGTCAGGCCCGTCCCTCTGTGGTGGTGCGTGTCCGAGTGGAGCCATCATTTTTTTGGGTGGAGCTGCCATAGTGCTGGCCTGCATCAGGGCCATGCTGGAGAGCACCGCTTCACAGCCGAGCAGACCGGCCTGGGAAATGAAAGATGAGATTTAAGATTAACTTTCTGTTGACATGCATCCACTGCACTGCAATTATAGACGACAACATCCTGAGTGACATAAGACTGTTCATCAAAAAGTGGCTTGCAACCACTTTGGTGTTATAAAACACAAACCCATTTCATATGGTCGCGGACTGAGCTGCTGGGCAGGTGTGACATTGCTGTGGTAACGGTGTGTGTGAGCGCAGGGACAGGGGTGGGGACAAGGTCATCCAGAGAGCCGTCAGTCAGGATGGTCAGGCTGGTGGGAAGCCACACCCACCTCACTCATCTAGCATTCAAACTGAAGAAGAGGAGGATGTGGATGAAACAGACAACATATGGAATTACAACATCACTTTTTGCCTTTTTAGCTACATATCCTCCCATGGTTATGTTTACCCAAGTATGGGCTACTGGAACTATACATGCATCTTATCTGAATATAATATTTATCTCACAAAATATGATAATACTGCTTTTAAGTACAGTGGTAAAGTTATTTTTGGTTTCAGAGATCTACAGCTAAAGCAATAGTGTAGCATCCGAGGAACAATCTAAACTTATTTCACCTAGCATTGGCACTAATTTATGCTGCAAGGTGATAAACAACACAGAAATATATGGTAATAACTGACAACGTACATAGCATGGGACATGTTGACATGGGACTGTGATATGAATTTATATGGAAAATGACATTTAATCCACCACAAAGTGCTTAAAATAAAAAACAAACGTAATTCAGTATGACCTTTTCTTTATGTAATAAAATTGTTAGTTGAAAACTTGTCAGAAATAATATTGGAAAACAAGCTGCTATAAAGTTTCTTTTTTTTAATGACAGTCACACTTGACTAAATCTTTCTTTAGCAACAAGCTAACAACAAAACAGGACACATTTAAATCGTTGAATAAAAACGACGCGGTAACTGCAAGTATGTATTTGCAGCATGATGTACAGTGTGTTTCCCTTATAGTTCGTTACACTCATGTTAGACTCATGAGAACCAAAGTTTAAAAAAAAGGAAAATATTTATTTGGGTGAAAGCTGCATTGCTATATTAGCTTTGCTAAGCTAACGTTGTTAACACTTGTTACAGAGTAATAAAGATCACAAAAAAATGCTACATTATGGACCATGTTCTGGTTATGACGTTTGTACTTTATTACTACCTAATGTTTGAGGAAGATAAATTCCTATTTTTCGACATTTTGCAGGGCTTGGCCTTCGCGCGTCAACCAAACCTGACGCTAGTTTAGCGAACATCAAGTAGCCATTAGCTGACTTGCCTTGGTAGCGCCCTCGCCCACTGTAATGTTACACACTGCGTGTTATTTTACACCATTTAGTCTTTAATAACACACAGAGGCCCGACGAACATATCCGTCGCGAAAGGTGGATTAAGGGACGTCGCTCTCTGAGTGACTATTGGAAGACAAAGCCCGAGTCGCTCGAGACTAGATGGGGCGATAACGACGCTCATAATGGCCGTCGTAGAGAGCCTCCCCCTCTCGACGAACAAGCTAACGTTAGCTCGCGACGGCTAATGTCGAAGCTAAAACATCGAGTAAATGTCTCGCGTCCACCCTTGTCCTTACGTGGGCGTCTAGAACGAAGCGGCGCTCGCCATAAAATGTCTCGCGAAACACCAGCAACCCCCCAAAAGGCAATGAAAGGATGATCGTTTTACCTTGGAGCTCGGGTCGGCCGAGGATTTTCGAGAGCGTCTAGTTTACAAACACAGGAAACGCCACAGGATGTAAGGACCCACTCCCCCACGCAGCAGCAGCACAGCCTCCCCGAGCCAAGAGATCATCTTCTTCAACCACTCGGAGGCGATTGGTGTCGATTTAAGGACCCCTATACGCTCGTAGAAACCATTTAGATACTAGATAATGGCATTTACTCGACGTTTCGAGGATAATTGGGATGTTTTTCGTGAGAGCTGTTCTGGCGCGGTTATCCGCGGACAGAGGCGCGACTGAAGAGACGCAGATGGAGGAAGAGGAGGAGGAGGGAGAGGAGCACTCAGCATAACAACCCCCGCTGCAGCCCCCTTCCTCCCAATAAATGCCCACACAACAAATACGCTCTCTGATTCGAATTACACATTTCAAATGAACCCTCTATAATGATTTTCATCTGAATATTAATTGATACAGCACAATAATTTCATTTCAATTTATAGTTTTATATTTTATGGTTGCCCTCAACAGTCTCTTGCCATTGAAAACATTCGTTTAACATTTTATCTGACATCTTCATATAAAGACAGGAGATGTGAGCCAATCTCTTCTTCGTCAATGGACACTACGGCTTCTTGTTGCTTTCAAACTTAGCTTGTCGCAGACGTGTGCACATTTTCAGCATGACGTCTTTGATCCACTGGTGAAAGAACACCTTGATTCTCTCCTCTTTCATCTATAACTGCTTCAAACAACAAAGTGTATGCAGAAAAATTGATTAAGATTGCACGACTGTCTGTGTCTTATGTGTTGTGTTGCATTATTTTGTCATTTTATGTTACCTGTTCTGTTGATGGTGGCGCGGGCACCCGCAGCGGCTCCTCTCTCTCCTGTGGTTGAGAGGAAAGAAATTTCATCTGTGTCATCTATGTTGCACATAGAGCACATTTGAAAATAAAGTTGACTTGAACTTGAACTTGAAAGACACTTGACACAAAATTGTGGTCACGGCATACTCAATTGTAGCGATGAATTTTGACATTGGGGCCACAACATGCTAATTAGTCAGTTTACCAAATCTCAATGTAGAGTTGAGAACATATATGTACACATTAATTTCTATGCATAGCAGTTGGATAGATTTATCAAATCAATCTTAAATAAAGTTGAGCCACCTTTTATTGTTTTTATTACATGGGAATAGCGAATTGAAAAAATAAAGTGGTGAAAAAAACAGCAGCTAAACCTTTCCCCAAATGACTACAAAATACTGTATATTGTGCGTGTGCACATTTTCAGCATGACGTCTTTGATCCACTGGTGAAAGAACACCTTGATTCTCTCCTCTTTCATCTATAACTGCTTCAAACAACAAAGTGTATGCAGAAAAATTGATTAAGATTGCACGACTGTCTGTGTCTTATGTGTTGTGTTGCATTATTTTGTCATTTTATGTTACCTGTTCTGTTGATGGTGGCGCGGGCACCCGCAGCGGCTCCTCTCTCTCCTGTGGTTGAGAGGAAAGAAATTTCATCTGTGTCATCTATGTTGCACATAGAGCACATTTGAAAATAAAGTTGACTTGAACTTGAACTTGAAAGACACTTGACACAAAATTGTGGTCACGGCATACTCAATTGTAGCGATGAATTTTGACATTGGGGCCACAACATGCTAATTAGTCAGTTTACCAAATCTCAATGTAGAGTTGAGAACATATATGTACACATTAATTTCTATGCATAGCAGTTGGATAGATTTATCAAATCAATCTTAAATAAAGTTGAGCCACCTTTTATTGTTTTTATTACATGGGAATAGCGAATTGAAAAAATAAAGTGGTGAAAAAAACAGCAGCTAAACCTTTCCCCAAATGACTACAAAATACTGTATATTGTGACCACCTCTTTCAGATTCAGCCCTAATCAAAAGTTGGTGCATAATTAAATTATTGTTTTCCTTTTTGGTCAGATTTTGATGTGGGATAATATCAAAATAAATGTTCATAAATGGTTGACTAAAATATCAAAATAAATGTTCATAAATGGTTGACGAATGAAGTTGTGTTAATACTTAACCACTCTTGGCTGAGTATGCGTCACAATCTGAACGACTCCATAGTTTTGTTTCATTTCCTTCTATTTCTTTCTTTGGAAAGATATGTCCGTGTAATTTAAAGTAATTTTGGATTCTTATACTCTTAAAGTGTAACTTGTAAAGTACGCTGTTTGACTTGGAACAATAAACACAACAGGGCCAGGTAGATGTAATGTAATACCAAAGATCATTGGTGCATAAAAGTCACATGACCCACCTCCTCCACTCCTGTGACACCTTTCATTTCAGTCCACCTTAAATTTTCCTCGCCGTGAGTGTTGCCAGGTTCCACTGTTTAATGGCAGCAGTCTGATTAAGAGTGTGATCATATTAAATTATGAACGATTTGAATTGTGTTCGGTGATGATATGAATCGTTTCAATTTAATTTCATTACATTTTTTAACTGCAATTGAGGGACAAATTGTGGGAATCACCCGTTTTAAGTTTCCATGGTATCCTTAACCAAGTGGACCATCACATGGATCTGGCAACCATGTATCAGGCTGTAGCAAGTGTCAGGTGTCGCGAAGTTTCGTCAAAACTCCGCGGAAGTACGTACAGGTAAGACAGCTTCTTAAACGACGCCGTAAAACATACTGAGTGTATATATTTAATTATAATTCGTCCTTTAGTAGTCATATGTTATACGTAGTTTCGTTGTCATAATATGCTCTCAACCTTCATTTAGGGATGACTTACTAAATCCGATGCCCCGTGGTAAACTCAAATATTTGATCGATTTACGATATAATTAACTCACGTGTTTTTAGCCAAATTTCAAACTTTTTAAAATCATTACTTTCATATCTAGCCCCGATGTCGCACACTTAGACTTAAACTAATGATATACTAGCAATTTATCATTTGTCATACATTTGGGGGCAGCAGAAGCAGGCTTCTCCAGTTTTACGCAAATGTTCTAGAATCAGACGTTCTGACAACTTAATAATGATTTCAATCTTTCTCTGAGGCCAGTTACGCATTAAGGAGTGTTACGCCCCTTTTTGCCTCTGAGTCAGTGCACTGCATAAGTATTTTAGTGCACTGTGGTTACTTCAGGATAACTTGAATAATTATGTTCAGTTTGCATCTTACCTAAAAAATATAAAATGGTGAGGAATATTGACGATTGTTTATGTAAAACTGTTGGAGCTGAACGCCACTCTTCATATTTTATCACCCTAAAAGAGCTGAATGCTAAATTATGGACCATCACCAAGCCAAGCACTCCCTTCCCATTTGTCATAATCTGTGGTTGTAATGACTGCACACAAGCGCTAAAGCAACGAACGTCACATTTTAGAGTAGACAGGATATAAAAAAAACCAACAAAGTAATGTGTCACACTCCGAGACACTCCACCCTCTTTAGTAATCTATTATTTCAATTGATTTAACTGAGACAAACAATGGAAAGAATTCTGAAAGCGTGTTCTTTTTTTGGAAGGAGTTCATAATGTAACCATTTGCTGACGTCAGCGTTCATTCAGCAGCTCTGGCTTTGTACTGGTTGACATGTCACGCCATTGCTGACACCATGATGACTTCTTCATATTGTCACAACCCCCCCCCCATGTAATCAGACACTTAATCTCAGCAGAAACACATCAACGAGAGTGGTGGCAAATAACGCTATGAAAGGAAAGAATCTTAATTCACAATGCCAGAACAGCAAGTGAAAATATGAATGTGCGTTCAATAATTTGTCCAAAGTCCACACGAGATGTTGTCATCGTAGTGATTATGTAAGCGGGCCAGAGCGAACAACCTCGACATTGAGACAATCAGTGCTTGGTGCTGGATATGGTAGTATACTTGTAAAGGCAATCAAACACTTGCTCCCGCTTTGCTTTGTTTACTTTGAATTTAACTCCTGTGGTAAAATGCCACTCAGCTTGTGCAAATCAAAGGGCGGTAGGTAGGGGTTAAAATCAAGGGATGTCGTTAATATTTGTCAACTGTGGGCATGTGAAGCCTTTTGAGACTTTTCTGTGATCAAGGGCTGTACACAAACCCAATTCCAGTCAGTTGGGATGTTGTGAAACACATAAAAACTGAATCAATAATATGCAAATCATGTTCAACCCATATTTAATTAAATACTACAAACGCAAGATCTTTAATATGTAAATAAATTTGACTTGACTTAACTAGAACCTCAAAAGGTCAAATGCAGTCTCTCCAGTTTGACCGCAAATGTCAATTCTGTTCATATTTTATTTCTCTTGACCCTCTGTGGTAACAACACAACACGACATATTTCTTTTTTTTTAGAGTGTTTATGTCTTAGCATTGCTCTTCTGCCTTTCCCCGCATTGCTCCTAAATCATGTCGAGTACGCTGTGAACACCAGAAATGGGATTCATTCCCAGACTTTTGGAAGTTCCACTCCACTAAACGCAGAAAAGGTAATGGAGGGTTATCATCGGTCTGCCGCTGTTGTGATATGGCTTGGTCAGAATAAAGTTAAATAGCAACTGTGTGTTTTGAGCCGTGTGGTTATGCGAGTTATATTCGCAGAGCAGAGCGTGCGCTGGCCCTCCGAAAATAACAGCCTAGCTGTTTGCAGTTTTTCATCTTGCAATCAAGCAGGCACAGGAGTGCAAGTTGGAACGTGTCAATAGCAGGAATGCATATCGAGTATCAAGCTTTGTATGTTTATTTTAATTTGTTTGGCACCAAACTTTGGCGAAGGGGGAGTGATTGTGGGGCGTGCTGACTTTTGGGATGTGTTTGCGTGTAGGAATTTAGGTAGCTGCAAAGATGGATAGCGCTCCATTCAGTCGAAAGTCGTGGGTGTCGCAGTCACTGCGTGTCACTGCAAAGGAGTTGTCCCTGGTCAGCGGACGAGGAAGAAGCAACGCCATCGCTGAGCGCTTCTCCAAGTGAGTCGACGAAAAGTACACTGCGTAGAACTGCCGTTATGTTGATTTGTCCTTCCGCACACTAAATTGTTTTGAAGCCCTAATGTTTGTGTTGTTGTGACCTTTTTCAGATACCAGAAAGCTGCAGAGGATGCACATAAGAGAAAAGGAGTGAGTACATATTTAGATGGTTCAGATACACTGTAACCTCCAAAGTCCAACCTGCAATTTATTCCTTTTTTTTTTTTTTAAATATATTTAAACAAGTATGTATCATATATGTTTCCACATTCCATTGTTGTTCTTTTATAAGCATCCTGGACAAGTTGAGATGCATATACTAAACGACCGCACAGTTCACTTTGCGGTGTCGATTTCTGTTTATTTTTTTTTAAATCAGTATTTTACTGAGCAGCCGGGGGCAGAGACATGTGAATCATGTTCTCATGTTGCTTGTAGATTTGTGCTTCGAAGGTAGAGGTCACCATTATGGTGCCCGTGAGTTCCAATCTCGCCCAAAGACCACAAGTCGCCCGAGGGCCAGCTGACTGTTGTGTCTTTGACTTGTGAACAGTACATTTTCCTATTCACCTGAAAACCTCCGTTTAATTCCCAATTTACAATTTTATGCTTCCACAGTTCCCACTGTACTGTATCTCCGTT